AGCAGGAACGACTGTAAAATCAGATTTTTTTAACGAAAAGAGTGTAAATTTCAAAAGAACAATTACAAAACTCTTTGGGTAACTACAGTCTCGTTAATATGAGTGCACAGCAATCTAGTACCAACCCTGGGAGGATGAGGCTCCTGTGGGCATTTCAATGCTGGTACCCTCGTAACCTCTCCCATCAGCGCATTCTCAACTAGAAAACAGGGAGTTTTGATAAGATAATCTAGAAGCTCCCTTCCTGTCCTAAAATGCTAAATGTTACCTTATAATCATGTCTAATGTTTTTAAATCATTGACATGTACAAAGGATAAACATAGACACAGACTTGAACAGAGTCTCTCGAGGGGTACTCTTCAGAATTGTTCAAACCCACTCCTGCCCCACCAGGACAAGGGGATGCAGGGACTTAGATGTTACGGATAATCATATACCATTTCCTCTCTATTTATTAAGGTAGTAGCCCTGAAATTCAACGACTGCCAGGATTGCTTTCTTGCTGGAAACTCGCCCTCCTGGCCCTGGCAAGTTACAGTCTAAGGTGGGTAGGTAATACATTTGATTTGGTTCATCGCACAGCCTTCAAGTGCAGAGGCAAAGGAAGCAGCTAAATGCTTCTGCAGGCTGGTGCCTGTGGGTGATTCAAGAGCTGCTAGACTGCCCTTTACTGGAGCACCGGGGAGTTCAAGGACACAGAGAGGCCCTGCTTCTTTAAGACATGGGGGACGAGAAACGACACTTATCTAGTGCTGGCACGTTATGTATAGTTTATCATGTAATCCTCACAACAATCCTCTAAGACACATTCTCATCTCCTTTCCGTAGAGGAGAGAATAGCAAAACTACCACTTAGAGAGGTAGATACTCTAAAATCAGCTCACCTTCGAAGCACTCCACAAAAAGTCCATTTACAAAATTAAAAAGTAGAAATCATCTTGCATTCTAAATATCACCATCAGACTATCTCGCTCAAACCTGATTTTTGTTGCTTATTTAAAAGGTGGATCTCTTTTAACTTACATAGGAAATTTGGGTTGTTTTGTTGTTGCTGTTGTTTTGCTAAGACTCAAGTGATGTGAACAGAGTGATGGAAGGTTCCATCTTGTAGTCTTTCAAATGTCTATCAAGTACAAAAATGTTGAGAACACAGAGCAAATCTTTAAATTTAACATTATAATTAGCTTCAACATCGTGTAACTTAAAATAACTTTTCCTGTCACCTGTCTTTCCAAATCCCCAAAACAAAAGAGGAGTAAAAAGTCTTAATAAATGCTAGCACTCTGCAGCTCAAAGATAAACCTCTCCCTAACCGTGGTCTTCAAACGTTCTTACCGACTTCCATCATAGTGACTTAAGTGCTCTGACAAACAGAACAAGCTTGCACGGCAACTTCTGGCTTCAAGAGCAGCATGCCTTTATAGGCATTCCCTACAAAATGCTGCTTTTATCAAACTTCAATTCTTCAATATTGACATTTTAATTTTTACCAAATCATCCAGTTTATCCCATCTTTAGTAGTTAGTAGTAAACACTTACTTCAACTTTCTCATCTTTGCAGGTTTGCTGGGAACTATATTAAAATAACTGCAAAAGAAAGAAAAACCTAACTAGAAGGTAAATATTTAGATAGAAAATTTGAGCCTCTTTAGAGATGACTCCACTCCACAGCAACTTAAAACTAAAATCTACAGCACCATAAATGCTCACATCAATATACAATAGCAATGTCATTGCAGGGAAATGTTCATACTGGATACCGTGGGCATCACCCAGGAAGACTGTCCTTCAGTGGCATTGCTTTTCCTCATACAACACTACTAATCAAAGAGGAACCTTGGAGACCAATCAAAGAGAACTTTACTGGATCACTAACGGCTCCAGGGCCCACCACTGGCCAAAGGCAGAGCAGAGTCCCAGCTCCCTTGCCCAGCTCCCTCTCACCTGCGCTGTCCCTTCCTGTCTCACAGAATGCCATCACTGTCTCCATTCTGCCAACACTGAATGCTGGAGAAGAGCCCCTGGAATAAAATGTGTATGAGCCCCGCCAACAGAATTCGTGACCCTTGGGGACTTTTGGAGAGCCTTCCATGTGCCTCAAAAACAGAAAAGATATTTTTAATGATAATAAATAGTATGTTAAGATTTATATGTGTTAGGGTTTCTTCCTGATTTAAAACAATTTTTTAATGTATTTGAGATTGTTCTTGACAATGGTTTTAGCAACAGTCAGAGAAGGATTGACTAAGAGCCGGTAGATGAAAGGAAAAAGACATTTTTAAGTACTTAATATACAGTCAAGAGTCACAAGCTCAGATGCCTACAGAGGCTGGTCAAGTAAATGATGATGCTCGCAAAGGGTGGTATTAGGGAATGGTGGGGACTGTGGCTAGTGGGAGTGCTCATAATTGCAGGGCACTGTTTTCCTGTGGAAATGCAGGCAACTAAAAACTAAGTCCTTGGGACTTCCCTAGTGGTCCAGTGGTAAAGAATCTGCCTTCCAATGCAGGGCACGCAGGTTTGATCCCTGGTCGGGGAACTAAGATCCTACATGCTGTGGGACAACTAAGCCCTCGCACCACAACTACTGAGCTCGCACACCACAATGGAAGATCCCGCATGTTGCAACTAAGACCTGACTCAGCCAAAAAATAATAATAATAAATAAAACTAAGTCCTTTTAGACAATAAAAATCCTCTGTTTTTTATTATTTTGTTTTTTCTAAACTACACTGTTTTTTTTTTTTAATTTATTTATTTTTGGCTGCGTTGGGTCTTTGTTGCTACGCACGGGCTTTCTTTAGTTGCTGTGAGTGGGGGCTACCCTTCGTTGCGGTGCACGGGCTTCTCATTGCGGTGGCTTCTCTTGTTGCAGAGCATGGGCTCTAGGCGCACGGGCTTCAGAAGTTGTGGTGCATGGGCTTAGCTTCTCGGCAGCATGTGGGATCTTCCCAGACCAGGGATCGAACCCATGTCCCCTGCATTGGCAGGCGGATTCTTAACCACTGTGCAACCAGGGAAGTCCCAAAAATCCTCTGTTTTTTTCTTTAAATGGAAACCAAAATTTCATATTACATGAACACCCCCATTATAAAATGGGGCAGCCAATTCAAACCTTCGAAAACTATGTGAACCAAAGAGCCTGCAAGTCTCCAAATCACCCCCTTGGCTTACAGCTCCCCTCCATGCCACTGTGCTCATCTTCAAATAGGCATTTTAGTCTTAAGTTCCCAAATTCCATATTTGATGACGCACATTAATCCCCCAAATGAGACAACTTACTCTCATTAAATGGAAACGAAAGGCATAAATAAATACAGAAATTAAGGCATAAAAAGATCACAAAAAACCCACAAAATGTTATTTACTGTTTCAATGTTGCCTTCCAAAAAACACAGAAATAGAATGGAAAGAGGGAACGAGTAATTCCTCAGAAATCCAGTGGCCCCAAGTCTTTAAGCCGGGTGTCTGCAAGAGGTTCCTGGCTGGACTTGGGTCTCCCTGGGAGTGTGGGGGGCAGGAACTGGAAGCAGAGACTAGATGTTAATGTGCAATGTTCCTCTTGCTACTTCCCAAGATTAAAGGAAAGGAAGAAGCCAACCACCAGATCAAGGCAGGCATGTCAAAGCACTGTGCTCATTTCACTCTGACAACACCCTATTGGAGCAGATACTAACCAGCCCTGGTTTATTGATGAGGAAGCTGAGTCTCAGCCAGGTGATTTGATTTGCTAAGTGCTACCCAGATGGGAAAAGCCAGGATTCTGTTCACCCCAGGTCTTCTGGCTCTGAGACCACATTCCTCTTCCTCGGGCGTGGCTGTCTGTCCACACACTTTGCCCCTTTCCCGGTTACGCACTAGTCCTCGGGTACAAGTGGGTGGTAAGGAGAGTCAAAGTACAGGTTGGGGTGTCAACGAGCTGCCTTAGTTTGATTTAAATACCATTTTCACTTTGAATCTCAACAGCAAACTCCTAAGGTAAATAGGAAAAATTCCTACTATAATTCAAATTCTTTGGGGTCTCTCGAAACACACACATACATACACACAATACACACACATACACATGCACACACACATACGCACGCACACATACATACACACACACCTAAACACATACACACACACATACATACAAACACACATACATACACACACACACACACACACACACAATGCCCTGATATAAATTTTATTGTGAATATGACTTTCTCTACAAAAGAAATCATTAATTCCAGGCTTTATGGGACATATTTTTAAAGTGATGATTAGCCTATAATATTTTGTTTTATAGAGAAAAAATGACGTTTCTCTTCTCAAATTAATTTATTCCAGAAAATGTAGGAAAAGTTTGAATGATGACTGGATTGGGGAAGATGTTATCGTGTTTGTCTTCTCAATGTACCATTGTACAACCATAAGAAACCCTCCGGGACGGTTAATATATCATCAGGTTGCACTTCAAAGTTCACCTGCTGGTGGCACAATTAGAAGATTATTTGCTGGTGAAAATTAATTTTAACCGTTCAATGGCTCAGTAAGTACAGAACATACATTCCAACAGCAGCTAGCTCACTGATACCAGTATAAATCAAGCCAAAATTAAAATCAGAGCTTTACTCATCAACGTCTGGGTTCCGATTTCATACTTCATTGATCTAAAAGGTAGTGGAGAAAACGAAATCCAAACGCCTCTCCACATTGAACTTCATATGCAAATCTCTCCCATCCGTTTGATAGCAATGAAGGTACATGGAAAATGCAAAATAACAGAGGGTCTCGACCACGTGGGAATCCCACCTCCCCGCCCTGCTCAGTGAACTGGATCACATTCCTTTCCC